ACTGGTATAGTGATTCTTGTGCTTATTCATTAACACGTTCTTTAAACATTTTTCTGCAGTTAAAAAATAGTTAATTTTAACTGCAGTTAGAGCAGATTGCTTATGTAAAACCATGCTGTTAACACATACTAGTACCTGAAGTGTCCATGTTCCTACAAGTTCAAACTGTGGCTCCATTAATTTACATTACCAAGAAACAAGGGGGACTGCATGAATAAGCAGGAAGATAGGTGTTAACTTTTTCAAGCATCTCATAATAGGGCATGTAGGGAATCATGTAAATTACCAGATTATTGCCAGTGTTGGAATAGTCGAAATGAAACCTTTTTCCATTTTAAACCATTGGCTTCTTTGAATACTATTGTCCAGTAAGTTCTGTGTAAATTCTTGGAGTTTTCTAACTATGGTTTAATGGAAAATGAGGGTGTACAACATATTTGGCTTTCTAAAAGAAGAGTCCTAGAGGAGATAAAACACAAGTAGACTGATGTAGTCACTCATGACCATGTAGTTGAGATCTGTCACTACAATTTTACACTGTTTACATAGCTGTTCCCATGGAAAAACAACAGTTTTGTTTAAGTTCTATGTCAGATTAAAACACCCTAAATGCCACCAAGCTCAGGCATTTTAGACTTGGAAGAGAGCCTGTGCCCAGCGCTAGAATGAGGTTTGTAAAAAAAACAATAGCTGAGATGAAAATTCTGATTGACAGTAGTTCCAAATCCTGAAACTGCTATGCCCAAATAAAAGTTCATGCTCAGGCTTGCTACTCTTGGAAGCAGAGTATTTGGAAGGAAAATGTTCAAGAAATCTTAATTACTAAGAATCCAGGGTATTTCCTGCTTTTAATAGTGTATTCTAACTTGTGGTATCTGGTGCGATTGTTCTAAGGCCCCTGGCACACTTTCACTGAAAGATGAGATAGGATCCGAACCCTGATCCCAACAATTGCATCCCCTGGACCAGCGTTTGTATGCTGGGTGCCCATCACCCAGCTAACCCCAAGCAGTCCCAGGGCCAGGACCAGCAATCAGCTGCTTGTTGGTTCCAGCCCTAGAAATGTATCAGAGCCAGCTTCAGATGCCCACAGTCCTTAAACTGAAAATCAGCTGAATGTCAGCCATAGCTCAAGAAGTACATCAAAGCTGGTTCCACGGTCCCAGGCGGGACTGTCCGCCCCAGCCCTGGGAGCTCATTGCAGCTGGTCCAGATTCCTGTGTGGTCCCGAGGATGGAACTAACAATTGTATGTGGAATGTTTTTGTGACTGGTTTCCTGTTTTGTCATGCCATTGAACATGTGGCAGGGTTACTGTTTATGGCACAATTAACAAGTTAATCACATTTTATTTGTAATGTCTGCCAGAGGTCTAATTTACATTAATCTTTCACATTGAAAACTGAACTAGAGAAACCTTCAAAAGTACTTATATTGAGCATTACATTTGTAGCTTTTATTGTTCATGGGAAATCTGTATTTGCTAGGTAAGGATAGCCTTGGCCAAGATACTCTTACCTTGTATAGAAATAGACCTGAATTTTATGATGAGATGCATGGATTCTGCAGTACTTGGGTGCTGATACAAAAAGTCTGTCAAAACTTCAGTTAAATGTAGGGATACTGAAAAGAAAGAGGAAGCAGACAAAACACTTCACAACAGCTGCTGGCAACTTTTTGAAGCCACGGGCTAAAAGAGCCCAGCTTAGGTCCAAGGAGACCTGGCCTCTGTAGCTTTCTCCTGCCATTTCTCACCACTTTCCCACTGTGGTGCATGCAGCAATTCCAACAACTTCCAACAGCTTTGAAGACTTTACTTCCTATTGGGATTGTTCAGCATATACTGCTAAAATGGAAATAATTTTCTAAAGTAAAAAGGTCACTTTCTACTATAGGCAGACAAGGTTCTTTGGGTAAATCTGATATCTTTTATTAGACCAACTCAAATAGTTGCAAAAATTCTTCTTTGCGTTCTCTACTACAAGTATTTGAGATGGAAGTCTCACTTTTAGCACTTAATTGTCACTTACTATGGGACATAAACGTACTATAACAAGATCATGCTTTTTATATAATCTTTGGCTTAATACATTTAGTAAGACTTTATGCCCTTAATAGTGCAGTTTTGAAGGCCTTTCATTGGCTTCTTAAAAGGGGAGAAACTAATATTGCTGTTTTGTGGATGAACTCTTATCTTTAAATTATCATTGATAAAATGGATAGGTGTCATTTTTCACACTTCACTGTTATCTAGCAATGAAGTTCATTTGCATTTGACATCCTTTTCAGATGCTTAGCTGTTTCTTTCATACATTGTTTCCTGCCTTTTTAACCTTATTTTTCTCTTCAAAGCTGCTTTGCTTTTGATTAAAATAATATTTTATCTTCATTTTCTTCAGAAGTTCCCATGAGATATTAGTAGGATTACCTTAACTATCTTAGGTAATATTTTTTTTACAAGTTTGAAGGCATTTTAATGTTTCTGTGCAACATATTCTTTAAACTTGGTATTTTGAACATGGCATCTAGATACTGATGTACTTTCATTCATAGGAGGTTTCCCTTTTATTATTTCTTATTTTACTTAATGCATTAGTTTTCATTACAGGTACTGTAACAGATTAAATGCAACATCTGCACCTATTGCTGCTTTGTTTTCTTTTTTTCTCTTTATAAATCCCTCTGCACTGTGGCAAAATAGATTAGTAATACGTGATTTTTCAAAATTAGGAAAAGGTGAATGAGTTTGATTTATGTAACTTCTTAGATAAAAGGAAGTGAGACCAAAGAGCACTGAGCCACAAAGGATACAGGTTTCTATGAAGTTTTCTAAATTCACACACAGTTGTTAAACGATATAAAAAAAATACATTTTTTTTCTCCTGTCAGTTAATACAGTGCTCAAGGAATGAGCCTGCAATTTTTTTTAAAGATCTCTTTATGGGGCAGGTAAGACTGAGTTATTTTTTTTGCTGTATTTCTGAATATTTTTTCTCCTAAAAGGTCACCTGATTTTTTTGTTTATAACATAAAATGATTGTATACTTATTTTTATAAGCTGTTTGCCCCAATTGATCCATTCATCAGTATAATCAGTGTGCTTGTTGCAAGTCTTAAGCTACTAAAACATAAGCATCTAACCTGATTGCTGCAGCGATTTAAAAAAATCCGTAAAATTAGATTAATTGAAAGATCTGATAAATAAATGTAACATTTTGAATCCTGGGACTGCTTGAAGAGAATGCTGCTATCCTGAAGTCTCTTTCCTGGCAAGGAGATCCCTGAGGGTGATGGCAAGTGCTTGACGTTCCCATGGGACATTTCCTGATGGGTCCCATATGGCTCATCTTGTCACCATGCCTCCTGTTCAATGCGTATATGAGGCTGCAGAGTGAGATTAGGTGGTGATATCCAGCTCTGCCGCTCCCTCTCTTCTGACCTTGACCCTACAGTCTCAGTCCTTTCCCAGTGGCTGGCTGCAGTTGGGAACTGGACGTAGGTGAACCAATTTAAATTGATTCCAAATAAGACAGAGATGCTGGTGATGGGCAGACCACTTGACCTGAGAGAGGATTGGGGCACATTTCAGCGTTGGGGTTTAGTCTTCTCTTGTCACTCTGGTCTGCAGCTTTGGGGTGCTTCTCGATCCTCTGCTTCACCTGGATCTTCAGGTGGCAGTAGTAGCTGGGAGTGCCTTATTCACAAACTCCATCTGGTGAGAAAGCTGCAGCCCTTTCTTTCTGACTCTGATCTGGCCATCATTATCTATGCCTTCATAACTTGAAGGCTAGATTACTGTAATGTGCTCTACATAGGGCTGCCCTTGAAAACTGTCCAGACAGAAACTGTGACAGATACAGAACATGGTAGCCACACCTCCTTCTGATGGGGATGGGTTGCCAGCAGCACATAACCAGAGGGAAAAATGTGCCCTGGGCAGCTGTCCCAGAGCAGAGAGGCAGGCAGAGGGCAAGGCTGGCGCTGGAAATTCTGGGAAGTCTAGTTCTCGGGGTTGACGGTGGACTTTGCTGTTGCTTGAGAGAGGGGGGGAGAGTCTTTCACACCATTTTTTGCTTGCCATGTCCAGAGAGCAAGACAAATAAATAAATTTGAATTCAGTGGCAAAATATGGGTGTTAGGTCTCCAAACTTCACTATTGCTCTACAAAACCATGATTCCCAGAATGTCTTGTGCTCTATGACACATTGCTCTGTGCTGGCAATGTATATCGCAGAAACAAGCAGCAAGGCAGGCACAGGTAGGTAGGCAGTGAGCCAAACAAGGCAAATATCCCCAGAGATAAGTGCCCCCCACCCCTGTCCTGGTGCCACTCCTGAAGTAGGAATGGATGTTGTTTAGGGGGTCTCTGTTTTGTCCTGATGCCCCAGTTCTCTTTGTTTTCATTCTTTTGTTGTAAGTTGTTTTTTTTTTTTTTTTTTTAATCTCATTGCTTTTTAAGTTACTCTGTTTTCTTAAGCCTTTGTTGGGAAGGGTAACATGTAAATTGAATAAATAAATGGTATATATAAGTTAGGAAAACATGACCTAGGTGGCATTGTTGATAGTTCAGTGAACCTCTGTTTAGTGCACAGCAGTAGGTCAAAAAGCAACCAGTTGGCTTACAAAAAAATATGTATGTATTTAAATCCAGTCTGCACATCAGTGATCATTGTGATACTATCCTTGTTAAATGCAGAGCTCTTCCATATAGTGATGGAAACATTTGCTGCTGAAAGGGTATAAGACACTTATTAAACAGAAGCTAATATGGAAGATTCACAAGAAGTGGCAAAGTATCCTGGTGGTAGACCCCATCGCCCAAAACCTTTCAAATGGCTTAGTGGGACAAGGATCTGGTTTGGTTTGTTTTTTTGAGAAATCTGGGAGTGTGAATTTATTGTGATTTTGCTTATCATTAACACGGTCATATGTTATATGAGCATTAGTATTTTATTAAAGAGACAAAGGTTAGCTAATTTGTTTTTGTTTTCTTTTTTTTAGGACTCCTCTAGGATGGTTTCAAGCCGATATAAAAGGTAAAGGACCTTAAACTTTTAAACAGATCTGTCTAAAATCATATGACACTCATTTATGCTTATATAGTATTTGAAGGCAGTGAGTCTATTTTCCTTGCCTGTGGATAGTATATTCTGGTGTTCTAGGATCTGAGCAGTAGATGCAATAATCTTGAATCCTCTCTTTCTTGCCATCTCATAAGCAACTAACTAAGATACTGTAAGTAACATTTGTCTGATTGTTAGGAGAATTGTTCTTTCTCTGGCATTTTCCACCAAACCTGATACTGATTTTTGCCTTAAGTAAATTAGGAGCTACCCCTTCTCAAGCACATGGAACGTGCATGTATGTGAACTGCCAAACTTGGAGGCTTAGCACATGAAGATGAGTTCCTTGTTATCCCTGCTAGTGTCAATACATTACTATGTGCTTTGATCCTATCTCAGGTTTAGAGGCTATTTTCTGTGTGCTGTTTTGGCATTGTCTTCTTTCCCTAGAAAGTATGGAACTCCAAATTCTGTTCTCGAGTCACTGATCGCTTATTACAGCACATGCTTTTGAGCAAAGTAGCCTTTTGAGAAAAGACTTGTGTAGCGCAGGTCCCAGACTGGTTGGAGCAACCACTATGTGTGGTTCATTCATGGAGCTGCTGGTGTGGGCACTGTGCGTGGCAGACATCTTAGAGCAGGAGCCGTGTGGCACAGTCTGGCTGGAATAGGCACCATGTATAGCACAGTGCCCACTCTGGATGTGCACTACATGCCCTTGATTGGACTGCATTTCACATGGTGTCAATTCCAGCCACTCTAGGATCTGCATTGCATGTGCCCGCCCATGCCCCATGTGGGTCTGCTGAGACCCAGGGGCAGCACTAGGGGCCGACTGGCAGGGCTCCACTGGCCACATCCAGTTGGACACCCCTGATCTTTACCAAGTGTTATCATACAATATATCTTGGTATTACTAATGTATGTTTTGATGTAAGTTATATGACTAAAGTTATGAAATGTAACTTAATTTAGCCCTCTTTGTTTATGCTTTTTGGTGGTTTTGAATTGCAGGATCACAAAATATTCTTTTCATGGGTCCTTTGCCTCATTCAATGCACAATGAAGATTGTGCTCATTTACTGAGCAGCAATTTTGTCCAATTTGTGGTCCTGTACTAAGATTAATGGATACTATTTATGCGCCTATTCTGAAGACAAAATTAATCATTTTTGTATTGGGTTATTTATCAGGCTCATTGCATATTATCTGATTTCTTCAAAAATATTAAGGAATTTGTTTTCACAATACTAGATGAGAAGATATTATTTCATAGATTTCATAGATATTAGGACTGGAAGGGACCTCGGAAGATCATCGAGTCCAGCCCCCCGCCCAAAATAATTATAATTATTTTACACATGGTAATTTCTGTAACACATTCCAGAGGAACTGAGGCACAAATAAATTAAATGTCGTAATTTTGGTCTCTAATTTAAGGCATCCAGAACCTGATTTTTCAGGCTACTTAACATTATGAAGCACTTCAGGTGCTCAAACCCCAAGTCCTGTTGACTTCAGTTGATGTCATGAATGTGCAGCATATCAATAAGTCAGACCCATTGACTGAAGTCAACCGTTCAGTTAGTAACCACCTGTGAAAAGGACATTAATAATTTTAACAGATTGGTCCATACCACATTTGGCCCCTGTGCCAGAAGCAGGGATAAAATCCAGTTATCCAGGGTAGCTCTCAGCTGCCATAACCAGGGAGATGGTCCTTCCTTCTCCTGCAGTCCCCTGGCTGCCTCATTCACAAAACAGTATCAAACTTCCTCTAAAATGAAGCTGAATCTCCATAGACAAAGAGTTTCTTTCAGCATATAATCCTGGTTCTCCCCAGGCAAAATTATTCTGTGCCTGAATACGGTAGGAATTCTGTAAAAAAGCAATAATCTAATGAAACACTGCATCAGAGTACATATGCCAAAGAAGCTAAATTAAGGTTGAGCAAGGGAGTTTCTCTCCCTCCCTACCATCCTAAGATTTCCAGTGGTTTTTTTCTTTATACACTGTTCTGGCTTCTGGTCTCTGTCTTCTGTCTCCACCTGCCATCTTTTCCTGTCTCTCAGCTTCCAGTCCCCCTTCCAGATCTTGTCCTCTCTGCCTTCAAAAAAGCAGCTACTTTGAATCTTCCTATGTCCAGCAGAAGGGACATTGAGAGCAGATGATAGTTTCCCTGTATTCTCAGTTTGTGTAGATTTGGGGTTCCCAGGAGATCTAGAGGCTCAGTTAGTAATAACACAGATTGTATTACTTGTCAAGGATGAGCTCTTAGGTTACAATGGGTGCAGCGACTGTCCTTTTTTCTAATTGAGCTCTTAGGTTACAATGGTAGAAAAGCTTTTCTTTGAGATTGTATTGACAGGGACATTATCCAGGTCAACTTTCTGGACTCTTAATGCAGGCAACCCCTGCTTAACGCTCTTAATTGGTTCCGGAAAAGCCGAGCACTAGGTGAAACAGCGTTAAGCGAAACCCATTTCCTTTTTGGATTTAATGTAAATAAAGATAATTGGTTTCACAACAGCTGCTGGCCCAGACCCCGCTTTCTTGCAGCCCCACCCTGAGCCCTGCCAGCCCAGACCCTGCGCTCCTGCCAGCCCTGGCTGGGCTGCTCCCAGCAAGACACCACGTGGGCTCTGCCAGAGAAGTCATCAGCTCCTCCCAGCCTCATTGTTCCCCTGCCGCGATGCCCCTGCCAGCCTGCACCCACTGGCCACCAGTGCTGGGGAGGGGTAAGCAGCGGGGCTACCTACCCACCCGCACCCCACTTTGCCCAGCAGGGACTCCTTCCAGGGCACCCGGCACTGGGATG